TTCACATAGGGATGTTATGGAAAAAAATCTGAATGGCCCTTTAATGTATAATAAGCAACACTTCTTCAATGCTTGCTTACAAAGGAGCTACACTAATTATCCTTTTGAAAGCCCACAATTCTGTTATATGAAATTAAATTTATCCCTGCCAAGGAGCACATCAAATTCTACAGAGGGTTTCTAAGGTGGGCCCCGGGTGTGTAATGAGATTTACGAGTCTGAACCATGCAGGAGTCTTTTAAAACAGTCATTTGTGCTGTCCAGAATACACCGGCCTACATGAGTAACAAAGGTTGCTTTATTTTTGCCTGTTTTTATTTTTATTTTTATTTTTACTAGTCAACGTGGTGATGCCAATACAGCTGTGGAAATGCAGGCTGTGCCCTATTTTGCCTTATGCATCATCAAGAAAATTGCCAGCTCAATTCTGATTCCAAAATCTTTATTGTGATGATGTAGTTAACAAAAGACACAGCTTGATTTGCAAACACCACCCAGGGCCAGGGATTGGGCCAACTGGAAGAAAATGCTGTTTTGAGCCATTGTATTGTCGCTGAAGGAGAACATTCATTAACTGCCAGCATATGGAACATCTTGATGTGGCTTAGTACATTTTCAGAGACAGTATTGGAGGGATGGATTCTTAGACCTCATTTGGTGCAGTCTCCCACACAACTAGAAAGTCTTTTTCTAGTACCTACTACTGTTTCTTTCCACATTCTTTAACATTCCAGAAACCTTTTCTTCTTTTTTGAGACAGAATCCTAGTAGGTAACCTTGAACTTGCTATATAGTGAAAGCTGGCTTCAAGCTTACTCACCTACTATGTTTAGTTTATTACCAGTGTGTACTACCATGCCCAGCTTCAATACTTGTTATTTCTAAACTAACTTCTCTGCTAGATAATAAATTTTACTCATGTTTTCCTGTATTTGGACAAAATCTGCCTCCTAAGAACTTCTTCCTATGGTTTTAAACAAAAAAGGGGTACAAATGTGTAATACATCTGTGCTCTCTCTGCCTCTATGTGTGTATTTATAGTCTCTCTCTAAATATGTATATGTATCTATGTATGTACATGCATGTATCCATGCATGCACATGTATGTACATGTGTATATTTACATATGTATATTCATGCATTCATTGGTATGTGTTTACGTGTGTATACATATACATACTGTGTATATATGTATATGATTTACAGTAAGTGAATCATAATGGTTGTAAAGAAGGAGCTAAATTTTGAGCTGAAGAATGTTAAATTTTGATATTCTGCTCAGAAGGGTTGATGTTGGTGGGCAACTGCAAATTTTCATATCTGGTAGGAAAACACAGGTCTTGAATCAAAGATTTGAGAAGTAACTTATTTGGGAGATGAGTCTAGAAAGCATGAGGAAAGTAAAGAAGAGAACAACAGAGAAAGGAGGGAATGAACCAAGTCTGAATTACCTCTTAGATGACCACTGGTGACCACACATGAGTCTGGGAGTTCTCTGACCTGAGGAGTAAGGAGCGAGGGTTTCTATAGCTCGAGTCCAGTGTGTATAAAATAAATAAATGCTTTCACAGCTGGTAGGAAAAGTCTAGACCAGATACATGTTGGTCTAGTTTGGCTCAGAAGCAGACCTTGAGTCAAAAAATCAAACAACCATTTTGGGAGGAGTTGCCTTGGAAAGCAGCAGTTAGGGAGCAAAGTCTCTGGAAGCAAAGAGGACAGCGTTAACTTCCTGATACTATCTACCTGCTTGCCTCTCACACAGGGAAAAAAGGCTGCAGATACTCCAGAGAAGATTTCAGTAAAAGAAAGTTCTCCAGAGAATACACACACAATTAGACCAATGATCACATTAGCAACAACAACATACACATACATACACACACACACACACACACACACACACACACACACACACACACACACACACAGAGCAAAGTCTGAAGGACATGGGTGGGTGACTGATAATTCATTAAGTAACACATGGATATTAAAAAAATAGATGATATATCTTGTAAAATAGACTTGTAAATGGGGTTTTTTAGTCAAAATCATCCAAGATAAAAGTTCCTTTGGACTGGGAAAATAGGCCAATGGTAGAGCACTTACCAGCATGCATAAAGCTATGGATCTGATCTCCTTTACTTATATACATATCTTATATATATCTAATATATGCATATGATACACATATACATGTACACACATACTTTGACAAGATTGTCAAGTCATCTTGCATACTTGCACAGAAGCAGACAAAGGCTTGGGTTCCAAGTTATCACTAATGAGCTTTCAAACACTGTCTGAGTTTGAGCAGGGGTTAAATGGACAGAACCTCATCTGCCTTAGCGCCTCAAAACCAAGCTATGAGCATAAAATAATATATATGAAAAGCCTTTGAAATGAAAAAAAGCAGTAAACAACATATAAGATATAAAGCACAACCATATCTACTCATTTGAAATAGGAATTGTGGTTCACATTTTTGAGAAATTTTACTTCCTGTAACTTGAAGCTTTCATCAAGAAAAAAATATATATACATATAAAACAGCAGATCACAATGCATTTTAGAATTTTCTCTGGAGCCTCATTCTTTGTTGTTGTTGATAGGTAGATGGCAGGAAAATGTGTTGATGATTCTGCTTAGATAAAATGAGCCACTGATGATTTGTGATTGTGTATCCTTGAGTTATTTGGAAGTCTACAGTAGTAGCTTCCTGGTGAAAATTTCATGAAGAATCATCTTTGTAGCAGTAAACATAAACTGATTTTCAAAAACAAACAAGGTCAGGAGAAAACAAGAAAAATTTTCTTATTTTCCTCACTGACCATAGTCGTACAATAAATGATTTTGAGTTAAAATACTGAGAGATATTAAAAAGGAGACTTCTAGATTTCCCATAATGATTGGCTTTTATTGGAACCACATCTTAGATGTGAGTTTAACACCAAAGTTCTGAGTTCTTAGTCTCTTCTCCCCAGTCAAGTTTCTCATACAAGAATCTTCCATTTATTCTTTGTCAGAAACACCAGTAGCATCCAAACTACTCAGGAACATGCTAGAAGAGACTCATCTTTTCAATTTGTTTTGTTAAATGACAGCATAGAAGAAGAAAAAGAAACTTTAAAAATTTGTAGGAACTACACTGTGCCTGTCACTGAGCTAAGCATATCGCAAAGATTCTAATATTTAACAATTCTTTGTTTTAGATACCATTTTTTTATTTTTTCTTTTTTTTTCTTTTTTTACTTTTTTCACATTTATTTTTTTATTGTCAAGGTTACAGAGGGGTTACAGTTACATAAGTAAGATAGTAAATACATTTCTTGACAAACTTGTTATCTCCTCCCTCATATTTCTCCCACTTTCCCCTCCCCAAGTTGTACAGATTAGATACCGTTTTTATCTCCATTTTATACATGACAACACTGAGCCATAACAAGGCTCCTTCAGTGTCATCTTTACAGAATTTAACTACTAGGAAATGGCAGGGCTAATGTATAGTTCAGGATTGTATAACAGTATTTGAAAGCTCCTTCAGAGCACACTTGAAGGCTGAGCAAGTCAGACTTTATTAGCAAACAGTTATGACATCAAATTACTTTTTTTGGAATGGTGCTGTTATCCATTCAAGAGAAACATGTTGGGCACCTACCTATTCAGGAGGCTGATACCTGAGGGTTGAGGTTTAAAGCCAGCCCAGGAAGAAAAATCTGTGAGATTCTTATCTCCAATTAACTACCAAGGAGTGGCTCAACTGTTAGGATGCTAGTCTTGAGCAAAAAGTTCAGGGACAGAGCCCAGGCTCTGAGTTCAATCCCCAGGACTGGTACAAAAAAAAATTCACCTCTCCATCGCTATCTTTATCAGGTCCCTGTGATGAGTATGTGTTGTCATATGAGATCTGTGAACCCATGCATTTAGTTTTCCCATCCAATGGGTATGATCAGCCCAAGTGCCACCTGCAATTGTCTGGAATGCCAAATCCTTTGCCATCAATCAATAAGCTCCCCTTCCTGTTTTTAAACCATCTTGCTTACAGACAGGAAAAAAATAAGTTCAACATAAAATCTCCTAGTTTTCCCTTGGATTCATGTGCCAATCATAAATAACTCACTAACAACGATGATCAGCATATATCAAGATCCAAAGTTGAATCACCATATAAGGTATTTCATTGCCTTATCTTTGTGGAAATTCTTGAGTTCTCTATGTGAAAAGAATTACTATTAATCCCCAATTCTACAGAGGAAACCCAGGTTTGGGCAGGTGAATTACTACACCTATGGTGGCTTGTCTACTTGTGTCTACCTTGCACAAGAACCCAACTGTGGATGTGGTAAGCCCTCAATGAACTAAAACAGCCAAGTCTGAGATCACCTCATTCATTTGGTGAAAATGTGATACAGATATTATCTCAGTGTTTACTTTGCTCTTTCAAACAGCTAGAAATTAGTTGATGCAGATGAAAATGACTGCATGTAATAGACCTGTGCTACAAAAAGTTTTGTTAAAGACAAACACAGCAGTAATTACTAGGATTAAATTTTGCAGGCCATATAAAACCTCAAATTTTTATTTTTTTTGTAGTGCTAGGGGTTGAATCCACATATAGATACATCCCTAATCCCTTGAGTTCTTGGTTTGAAAGTTTAATATGTTATATTTGGTTCTCTGTGTGTACAAAATCCTAAAAATACTGAAATGCTATTATTTCACCATAATATATACTTACTTTAATAATGTACATTCTGAAAGCAAACATCCTAAAATTAGAAATCTGTGGCTTCAATGTTACCATGTCTACACCTACCCCCTTTGACTATCTGTGCTCATAGACATTTGCACTAGCATGTAATTAACCATGGGAACTACTCGTTAAATGGAATTGGAGGAGGAGCCACAGACATCCTGTCCAATTCCATCATTTAGCAAACAGCACAGCTGTGTATACAACACGTGTTTAATTTCATGATGTGTTCCTCAGCTAGACACTGTACCTTGACTGTTGTCAATATTTAATCCTTGTGGTGGTTCCAGAACATCATCAGGATGTGGGACACAGAGTCCGTGGAAAGGCCCCAAGTCGAAGCATTCATGGAGCAATGTCATGTTCACTCTTGAGCACACACTCATGAACCCGACAGCTACACCTTCCACCTGGAACATATGAAACACTATGTTACTCTATCAAACCTCAACTGACTCTCATCACAAAATATTGATAAGCACACAGCATACTGGTACACTTCGAATTGTTTAAGGGATGGTGAACTATCTTCCCTAAGCAGCTCTAATGTCTGGTATAATGCATGCCACAAACAATGCATTCAAAGAAATATCCAAGATTATGTTAAGTGAAATGAACCCCAAGATATGGACACAAGAGGTTTTTCTTTGTTGTTGTCGTTGTTTTTAATGTACTATGTGATTTTTTTTCTTTTTTTTCTCCTATGATATATCCCTGTTGTCACTGTATTTGATTTTTGTGCCTTGCATCTTGTATATATATTTATCTTATTTGGGGAGGGGAAGGGGAATAACAAAACACTGAAACAAGGACACAGGAGGACCCATTGCAACAATAAGACAAGACACTATGTTGTAAGTGAACCTTACAACTTTGAGGGGAGGAATAGGGAAGGTAGGGGAGGGAAGGGATAGTAGGAGAAAAAAAAAGGAGGGGGTAACAATGCCAGACAAGAAATGTACTCATTACCTTACTGATATAACTGTAACCTCTCTGTACAGCATCTTCACAAGAAAATATTTTTTAAAAGAAATATCCAACAAGTTACCACTGTGGACAATCCCAGAGACTGATCAGTAACTTAAGGGAGTTGACAGAGAGCTCCATTGGAACTTTACACTTGTGCCCTTTCTTCCCTAATCCCTCTGCCTATCCTATATCTTCTGCCATCTGGTGTCCTTTTTATCCCATCATAAGCCCAGGCCTCCTGCACACTTTCTCCCTCCCATCAGTGTCAGTTTGATTGGTTCCTAAGTCAGGCAGAATAGTCATAGAGACTGGCTCTTGATCAGGGAGAAACCCATTTTCTCTCACATTCCTTTATTTATTGATTGGATGATCTGATGGGAGGAGAGATGAGAAGAGGTTTGATGGGAAGTGGATGAGTGAAATAAAGTTGAGTAAGGCCAGGCTGATTCAGCAGGTGGATGTGAACTCCAAATGGATCACTCCTCAGCACACTAACAGACACTGAATTAAAGCTCTTAGTTAAGTGCTCACAAATTTTAGTCTTTCTATACAGGTTAAAAGTTTAAAAAGTTGAGTAGCTGATCTAGACCTATGACTAACACCAAAATATTATAAGCTAACAAAAAATTTTAGTTCTGCAGTATGTCATTTTCATTCTATGCTTCATTTTTTTTCTGCAAGGAAAGTATTTAAAATTTACAGAAAGGTGGTGTAGTTTTTAAATTCCATGCAACTAATTTGTTGATTATAAGTGGGTCTTAAGCAAATTCTAGTTGACAGACTAGATTGTTTTTACTAGATTGAACACTCTCAAACAAACAAAAAACAGCATTTACTAAGTCCCGTCCCTCAACTATTCAGACACCATTTCTTCTTCTTCTTTTTGTGCCAGTACTGGGACTTGAACTCGGGGCCAGGATATTGTCCCTTAGTTTTTTCACTCAACGATGATGTTCTACCATTTGAGTCACAGCTCCACTTCTGGCTGTTTGCTGATTAACTAGAGATAAGAGTCTCAGAATTTTCTACTTAGGCTGGCTTTGTACTGAAATCATCAGATCACAGCCTCCTGAGTAGTTACTCAAGATTATAAGAGTGAGACACTGGTGCCTGGAACAAACATCTTTTTTTTTTTTTTTTTGGTTACTGGTGGGACTTGAACTCAGGGTCTGGGCACTGTCCCTCAGCTTTTTTGCTGAAGGCTAGTACTTTACCATTATGAGTACCAGCATAACTTCCGGTTTTTTGGTGGAGATAAGAGTCTCATGGACTTTCCTGCCAAGGCTATCTTCAAACCGCAATCCTCAGCTCTCAGCCTCTCGAATAGTTAGGATTACAGACATGAGCCACTGGTATCCAGCTCAGACATCACTTCTTGGGACAGTCATACCATTCAGAAAGTAGAAGAACTCAACAATTACAGGCACTCCTACTTCAAACAATGCAGCATCCTCACATAACTGCCCAGAGAAAATGGCCAATACCCCAGCATCCTAAAGCAGACAATCAATCTGTAATAGGCTTAATCTTTTAGATAACATAGGAAAAAAAAATAGGTATTCAACTTGGTTCTCCAATCTGTCTTCCAGATAAAAGCCTTAAGCACATATATTTGGAAAATAAATGTGAAATGCATTTTTACTTCACCCAAAAATGAAATTCAAGAGAAATTCAAAAATTCATTTTTCCATGAATATTCCTTTCATTATAGGACCTCCTAAATGATACTTGCAGTATAAAGACTGGATTTACACAGCTGTTTTATAAAGCCATTGACACTTTAATAAAAGTCCAAAATAAACATTTTAATTTTTTTCCCAAATAACAAGTGATTGTTTGTCTTGTTTGCACTTGTGAACAAAGACTGTGTATCTGCAGTTGTCTGGCTTCTCTGTAATTTTAGGCCCAAGACTCAGCAGACGCTGATTAACCAATCCATCTACCATATGTGCAGAAAGAGAGGGCCAGCCTCACTCCCGGCAGGGAAAATTGGCATCCATCTTGGTTCACATGGAGATGTCCTTCTAATCTACAGCCATGCTGGCGCAACGAAACTTCCATGGCCTGAAATACCTTTTGCTGGCTTCACGGCAAGCTGCGTGTGCATGATAAGAATGTATTATTTATAAGACTGCTGTTAGTAATGAGCTATTACACTAATGGCTCATTGTGTTTGGAATTTGATTTCAAATGGCATGAATCACACATTCTGATGAAAATGAGAAAAACATGTTTTGCCATTAGGAACAAAGATTTAGCAGTCTCCAATTCTACAACCTGTTATATTCCCATCACTCATCCGGAGTTGTAACAACCAACAAAAGTTCACAATTAGAGATGACCACAGAACAAGGACATAAAGGGGAAGTCATGATCCTTGTTTGGGATTTTCTTCCAAATATCTGATCTGAGAAGCACTGTTCTTAAAATGAACTGGCAGGAGTCACCAAAAGCATCTTGGCTTACACATGTGTTTTCTGGAAAGGAGTGAATGGATTTATGGCCTTTCTTACTTGCACAATGAAAAGGCACTGAGTGCTGGCTGCTGTCTACTTTCAGGTGACAGAGGTCCTTTCCGCCATGAAAGTGTCTTCAATTATCTTGGACTGGAAGACAAAACTGAAGTTTTCATGTTGATCCTGTTTATCAAGTGGGGATCCATATGATGATACCTACAGAAGACTTAGATAACATTGAAAAACGAAGGCACTAGCCTTAGATTCACACACAAGCCCACTTATAAATTCATGTGCATATTAACGCCTGTACTTCCATTCTAAATGTCCAATAGTCACCCATCTATTTTGGGTGACACTACTCCACAATGAGGGTTTTGTCTTCTTTGTGACCACTGCTGGCTTTGATCCTTTCTTCCTGATGCCAAGCACATGGCTGACCTGGCAGACTCGCCCCCGCCTGCAGGTCAGTGGTGCTTATTTGGACCCACTGCTGCCCAGGCCCTGGATGATGCCAAAGCAGACTTTCTGCCCATCTGTCTCTAGGAGCCGCCCTTGGCCTCCAATTGCTCTCCATTGAAATCTCAGTTTGGAATAAACACCAGATGTCAAGGTAAGCTTGGGCTACAGTTATGACAAGGACCTTGCAGCAAAGTCATAGCTCAAAACTCCTCCAAAGTAGCCAGCAAGACAAAGAAAGTTCTTGTAGCTTAAAAGTCTTTAATTAGTCAATGGTTTTGCACATGGCTTAGGCATAGCTCTAAGGCATTCATTCTACACACATGGTCTGCAACTGCCATGGGCTGGTTTGGGAAGAGACAGACAATACACCTTACTTCATTATCACTGGTCAATATCTAAAAGTGTGTTATGCTAGTAAATGTTCAATCCACATGGGGAGGAGGGGCAAAAGCCCAGATTTGTAGTCAATTTCTGCCATATAAATACTGTTATGGAAAATTTTATGCTTCTGATGTAATATCACTGAATATAGAGCTAGGAAGAGATGTACAATAGCATGTCATCAAAAATATGGCTTCTCTATGGAGATAACAGACCAAAAAAAGTCTCTAGAACACAGATAATAGTAAAATAATTGGGAGGAATAAACTTTAAGCATTTACTAACTTAGCTTTAATATAATTATACATAAGTTTATATAGGTTTTTTTTTAAAAAAAATAATGCTGTGTTTAATAAGCATGCAAAGTCTCTGTGGTTTTAGCACCTAGCTCTCTAAAGCAAGAACACACAGACTCTAATATACTCCTACTCTAGAACTCCCTGAGGAAAACAGGGAGATAATGGGAGAATAGGACCAGCATTCGTTCTGAATTCAAAAAGGCTTTAGACATGAGAAATGGCTTGGCTCAGACTGGAGATGCCCACTCTGTCCCATTCATGGGTCCTGCTTCTGTCCTTTTGTTTTAAGATTGAGATCTCAGGTTTCTTCTCCACAGAATCTCCAACCTCTGACACCCAAGGCAGCATGGATATTGCAGGAGTCAGGCTGGACACCCACTTCTCTTCTGAGAAACTATCCCAGAGAATTAGAACTGTGATTTTCAGCTTATGGTTGTGATGTTTAACTCACTGAGTCTGCAGAAAGTATAGAAAGAGGGAGGAAGAAGAAAGAGAGGTTTCAGTGAAATGGCCATCTGAATCGTTTATCCACATTTCATTCAGATTATTTCTCTTCATTGTTGTCCCATCATGTATTTTCAATCTAAGCATGGGGAACTCCAAAGACCTCGTGGGTGATTCTCATAGATGCCAAGTTTAGAAGCAGCCTAAAGGGGCTGGGAAGGTGGCTCAGTGGTAGAGTGCTTGCCTTGCATGCATGAGGCCCTGGATTCGATTCCTCAGCACCACATAAGCAGAAAAAGCTGGAAGTGGCACTGTGGCTCCAGTGGTAGAGTGCTAGCCTTGAGCTGAAGAGCTGAGGGACAGCGCCCAGGCCCAGAGTTCAGGCCCCATGACTGGCAAAAATAAATAAATAAATATAGAAGCAGCTTAAAGCTGCTCCTGTTATCCACATAAGAGAACATCTGATTTCAAGTCTCAAGAAGATGATCATTTAAGTAGATCTTACAGTTTTCACAAATGAGAAATGAGTGTAAGAAGAATGAGAAACCCCTTTAATAAAACATCCTATATATACTGTCCTGTGTGTATCCTGTTGCAATGGGTCATCCTGTGTCCTTGTTTCAGCTTTTTGTTATTCCCCTTCACCTCCCCAGATTAGACATCTGTATATACAAGATGCAAGATACCCAAAATCAAGCACAGTGACAACAGGGAATATGCCATAGGGGAAAGAACATACAAAGGAAACAACAAAAAAAATCACATGGTACATTTTGGGGGGAATGAGGTGGGTAGAGAGGAGTGTGGGAGGTAGGGGAAGAGAAGGATTGTGGGACAACAATAAGGAAGGGAAGGGGTGACAATGACTGACAAGTAATGTGTACTCATTGCCTTACTCATGTAACTGTAACTCCTCTGTACAGCATCTTTATTTTAGAAAAACATCAAATAAAATGGCTAATTCTCTACCTTTTAATGCTTTCTTTCAGCTCAAAGCCCTTCTTTTTTTTTATTGTGAAAATACTGTACAGAGGGGTTACAATTACATGCACAAGATAATGAGTACATTTCTTATCAAGCATTGTAGCCTCCTCCTTTGTTTCCCCATCCCATCCCATCCCATCCTCCCCCCGCACCCCCCCACCAAAGTTGTAAAGTTCGTTTTCGACATAACGACTTGTACATCTCATTGTTGCAATGGGTCCACCTGTATCTCTATTTAAACGATTTGTTTTTTCCCCTTCCCCTCCACAAATTATACCAACAAATACAGTGAAAGCAGGGGTTATACTGTGAAAGCCCTTCTTTTTTAAATGAAAGTCAAATATCTATTGAAAACAAAAACTGTGGTTGTGGAACCCTGGGCTTCTATGAATGAGTAGATAGTCAAGGCATTCAAAATAAGATTATCTTACTGTCAGAGGCAAATTTTAGTCCAAGCTTATATAAGAAAGACTTTTCTGAAGCATGGTCCCTCTATTTCTCATGGACGCAAAGAAAACATCTGAGCTCACAAGTTCACTGCTTTCCTTTCTCCTGGTTGGTCTCAAAGACTTATCAAGTATATAAGTAAACAAGTCAGTGAGCACTCTTCCAGTAACCAGGAGCCTTTACTCCTTCACAAAAAGTTCTCTAGTGTGGGCCCCTCGGACAGCAACATCACCCTGGAACTGATAAATTCAGCTTCTCAGACTTTCTCCTGCTAGATCTACTAGGTCAGAAATGTTAGTGTGGAACCCAGTCACCATTGCTTTCAGACACTTTCCTCATATTGCTCATGTACATGTAAAAAAGATCTCACTTGTTACAGCCATACCTATTCTAATACTGTATCCTAATGACTTTAAGCTGCCAAAGTCTTCACTATTTTCAGACAGACTTCTAGCATCCTCCACAAATATCCATATTCATCATTTTTAACTCCTAAGAACACTGAAGCCTACAAGATAGAATGCTATCATGTTGTTTTACAGAAAGGTGTATTTTTAGCAAATCAACAATACCTGCCTAGAGATACCTCAGTATCTTAGCTTACCTTAGCTATATGAATTAGGTTTCAGTTATTTTATTTATTATTTATTATTATTATTTAGTTATTTTAGTTATTAATGCATAGAAGGGGCCTCCAGGTAGCCAGAATTGTGTAAGGGAGGAACATCCATCAGCAAGTGCTTCCAGGGTGGGTGGAAAATTATCACAGGTCATGAGAATTCTAGAGCGGCTCACATGAGTCACCCAGGGTCTTTGGGTGACTTTCTTACACTAAGGCTGGCTAGCTTGTCAGCTCTTTTCTGTCTCTTCATAAAATATAGGCCCAGCCTTATGACTTTTAAAAGTTAGGCTGGGCACTGGTGGCTCACGCCTGAAATCCCAGCTACTCAGGAGGCTGACATCTGAAGATCACAGTTCAAAGTCAGCCCAGGAGGGAAAAGTCTACAAGATTCTTACCTCCAATTAACCGCAAAAAGCTGGAAATGAAGCTGTGGCTAAAATGGTAGCATGCTACACACACACACACACACACACACACACACACACAAATATTTGAACAAGTTCTAGAAATGAAGTAATACCACGGTAGGAATCATAATTGTTTGACTTTAATGACAGTATTTTAAGTTACAAGTTACACAAGAAATCATTCCTGATTTTAGAAAACATAAAGGGGGCATTATTCTGCAACTTTGGAATGGTTCTGAGAAATACATATGTAAATAAAGACAGGAAGCAAGAGGCGGATACAGCAAGTGAGAGAAAAGATTACCATTTAGGGAAGCTACGTACTCATAAATTTTCTGTAGGTATGAAATTATATTAAAACACAAAGTTAAAAAAATCAGCACAGGTTCAAACAGTAAATCCTCTTTTGCAACCCAGAACTCATTGTTGAGTATGTGTTTTGGTACATGTAGGAAGGACTAGGACTCCTAGGATAGTTTGAAGTGAGGGAGGGGGTTACTACTCAGGCAGGTTGGCTCAGAAGAAAGATGATGTAAAAGCAAAAAAATAAATAAATAAGTAACCAATAAATAAGTTAAACAAAATCCATCCTCTGATTTCTCCCTAAGTGTCTCCCCCTGGAGAGCTGTTACCAACCTCACACACAGCAGCATGATTCTCTTCATCTTGGGCCTCTATTAGTTCAGCGAGGAAGTATTCACCATACGTTTCCTTCAGAATATTGTCATAGCGCATAAATATTGGCATGAGGTCATCATGGTCTTCCACCCTGTTTTTGACAGAGAGGCTTTCATTTGGTGTTGGTTTCATCATTTTTCCCCCTCAGTGGAGCATCTACCATGTGCCAGTCCCAGGTCTAAGTACCAGAGATACGGGAAAAAGGGACAATAAAATTGAAATGCATTTTAATCATTTTCAACATTTCCAATCATGACATGTACCTTGGGATGAAGAATGACACAGATGGGCTGGGAAGGTGGCTCAGTGGTAGAGCACTTGCCTTGCGTGCCTGAGGCCCTGGGTTCGATTCCTCAGCACCACATAAGCAAAAAGAAAAAAGCCGGAAGTGGTGCTGTGGCTCAAGTGGTAGAGCGCTAGCCTTGAGCTGAAGAGCTGAGGGACAGCGCCCAGGCCCAGAGTTCAGGCCCCATGACCGGACCCAAAAAAAAAAAAAAAGAATGACACAGTCAGGTGGTCAGGGAAGACCTGTGACTACAGACATGTGAGATGTGACCTGAGTGAAGAAGAGAGGAATCTCTGCTGAGACCTAGACAGAGGTGGGCCATTCAGGAAGAGAGAACACAACTGGCATGTGGGTGGTGGGCTGGTGGAATGTTGGGCAACATTTGTCATCCATAAACCAACATTTCCCATATGTTGCAAGGGTCACTATTTCTATGATATTGTCCAGAATCCTCTTACTATAAATTTAAAAAAAAAACTCAATGCCTTCAGAATGTCAGAGTAACATATTTAACCTCATCCCTGAGACATCTCTACATTCTTGTGAAGGAAGAATGTTGGTGGAGGTAACAAAGCCCTACTCACTATCCTGGAAAAATCCATCTCATTGTTATTCATCTAATCATTAATCTCTTGTCAATATTCTTGAGAAAGAGAGACACAGGGGTCCCTATCCAGACAGCCAGAATCGTTATTTTTACTGTCACCTAGGTTCTGGCCATTAGTGATATTCCCTGGAGTGAAGCTGAAACAGGGAGCCAGAGACAAACATCAACTATACTTTTAGAGGATAGCTGAACTTTAAACACTATCCTTGACTACTGGTACATGTAGTTTTGTAGGTATGTCACTCTGAGAATTATCAATGGTCATCTGTGGTTGAGGCTCCAGCAGGGTGATCTGATTATGACTTGAGCTAGGGAGTCATTCTACCTGGGCCAGGATCCTGCCTTTGCCAGAGAGTGTGACTCTCTTAACCTCTCTATCACTGTTTCCTTGTTGGTCCTGGAAATAGTAACTATGAAGGTAGGAATATGTCTTAGTGTTATTTGTACTGTCATAATTATTACATAGGTAGAAAGGGCCAATAGAGCAATTAAAGGACATCTGCAATCAGCAGGTGGACTGAGAGAGTTCTTACTACAGAGGGTTCAATCACTGTGCTGGCTTCCCATTGGCAGGCACATGCAATGTCAGTCCACCTGCCATCACTAATCTTACAATCCTGTTTTTCTCATCTTGCTCCCTTAGTTAAAAATATCTGCATGTTCTCTTCTGTTTCTGTAAGAAGCACAAAGTCCTTTGCCTCCATGTTCCCACCCTTTTGCCATTACACAAACTGATCTACCTACTAACCCTAGAAAGGGACTTCATCTTCTTCCTATCTTGTCTCTGTTCATCAGTACTGTGACTCCTTTGCTATTCCACATGCTAGCATCCTTTAAGCCTCACCCCACCCCATACTTCAGTCTTCTTCCCAAGAACTCAACGTTGGCATCATCACTGGATGCATATTATCTAATGTTAATTTCCCATAGACAAGGTGTGCTACATCTTTCCAATCACAGGAGATGATGATGATGATGATGATGATGTGTGTATGTGTATGTGTTTTCTGATAGGGCATAGGAGGATCTCTGTACCATGTATAATAGCAGCAACAGCCACAGGACAGGGCCCTAACCACACATAAAACCTGACCAAGGGCCCAAATACACTATCCAAAGAGGATGTGATTGCTAAGACCCAAGAGGTATATCTGGAAAGTTGGTACCCACAGTCCCACACTGGTGGCTCCATGGGCTTTCTAGCCTTCTGATCTACCACTGAGAAACCAGCAGTTAAACTTCAACAGTAAACTTTGGTTTTCCCATCTGCAAAGGGGTATGGGGAGAGCAAGGGTAGCTGGGAGAATACAATTCTGTGCTCCAAATGATGATTCATTTAAACCTACTCTGCACACAGTAAGCACTCAGTAATTATCTATTCTCCACAGGAGACCTCAGAATTTTAGCTGAAAGAGCCTAGAAGACTCCCTCCCAGGAACAGTTAACTGCCTTCACATGGTTTTTCTCTGTAAAATGAATTCCTGATGTTAAAATATAATTCTAGAGAAGAATAGCCAACGAGTCCATTTTTTAGCCTTCCACTGAAAATCAAAACCTGCATCAATGCTTATTAACAGACATAATTATTTTACACAATGGGACAATACTTCAATATCGTAATTATTTTAAGTGGATCAAGATAGCAATCACATAAAATACTTCCCAATCAACTTTACTTATATGACTTTCACACACAAAAAAGTACTGTTCTACAGATATCAAAATCAGGAATTCGTATTAACACACTTGTGCATACTCAGACGTCAATATCAGTTCTTCTGGGGAAAACAAGAAGAAAACACCCACATCACGATGTTCTGAAGTTTCTCCCTTAAGCCCTTTTCCAAAATGGTTAGAGCAGGACTTGTTCAGTTAAATGCATTCCTTGGGGCAATTGATAATTTATGATCTTGCATCAGCCCAAGTGCTAATGATAAAGTATGACATCACCCTCAAAGTCTCAAATGGCTTATGACAAGGTCCAGCCTCACAGAAACAAAACACCTAGCTACAGAAAACCATCCATGCAATAAAATGTTTAAATGTGAGCTCTCAGAAGCAGCGAGCGTGGCCTGGGAATGGCAGGTGAGGACAGCCACCTGTCATTGTGAATTTGGCACTGCACGACCAGGCACATACCTGCTACTTACAGCATTACAGAGTTCTGACAACAATGACTACTGTAATTCACCAGTACAAAGTAGGAAGGAAATAACCCAATCCTCTTGAGAGAAAATCATGTCTTCCATTCAGATGGCCATGTAATCAATGATGGACTATTTTATTTGTTTAAAGGTCTATACTATGAAGACTTCTTACTACATTCACTCAATTATCCAAATGTCCACCAGACTCTGAAAACTGTGCCAGATAAAAACAGAGTTGAATCCAAATCTCAAAATTAACAGCTCGCTTTGGAAGATGGGTGTCAGCTAAACTCAGAATATGGCAAAATGAAAGGTGACCTGGTTGGTGGTTCTCCCTGGCTTCGTGGAAGGTGGGGAGAGGAGATAGAAACAGAAAAGCAGATCATCATGTTCATGATGTCACTTTGCATTTTCAGGTGCATTGTGCTGCTGTGAAACCCACAGAACTTTCTCTAGCACCCTGGCAGGGTCTCTCAGTGACAAACAGATCCTCAAACTGCCTTACCACAGCATCCCAACTGCTCTGCCATGTAATTACTACCCTCAAGGAAAATGTGAAAGGATGATTTCTCTAGTATGGGAGAGATGCACATGATGTCCTGGCCAGCAAAACCACCATTGAAAATTCACAAATGGGAGGTTCATCCTTAAGGTTTGTAAAGACAGCAGTGATAGACCACCTTCACATCAGAATATTGCAGCGTGTCCTCTCTCCTGTCTGATAGCATTTCCCATAACTAGAGAGGATTTGCATTTTAACCATCCTTAAAAAATGTAGTGCTGAAGAAGTGATTCTGTTGTCACTTGAAATGCCAGAAATAGATGAAATGTGTGTGCACACACACATTTAAGAAATCAACAATGGAAGAAAAATGTATAGTAAATCCAGTGTAATGTTTTTAAAAAATTCATTGTTTTCTGGTCAAGCCAGACCCTTACAATGAGCACTCTCTCCACATGGGGGTAACAGAACTTAAGGTAAGCACCAATAGATTTTTTGTTTTATTCAGAGGCAGAAAACAAAGCACCTTTACTTTCCAAGATCTCTAGTGACCTCTAGTGGTTTTCTTTACGAAACCAAATTAATCATTTCTATACTACATACTCTTATTTTAGATCTTTATAGAGTTTCAAATGCCACAGTTTCCATTCCTTGGAAAGTACCATAATTTTAAAGGCTATGGAAGATTTTTTTAAATTTGTGTGCTGGTTCTGGGGCTGAACTCAGGACCTGAGCTTTTGTACTCAAAGCTAAAGCTCTACCACTTGAGTCATACAATTCCAATTCTGGTTTTAGTGGTTAATTGGAGGTAACAGTTTCATGGACTTTCCTGCCAGGGCTGATTTCAAACTGTGATCCTCAGAACTCAGCCTCCTGAGTAGCTAGCATTATAGGTGTGAGCTACGAGGGCCCAGCCAGAGACGATTTTAAACTCAAACTTTTATCAGGTTTTGAATGACTTCAAATGTGTACCAGGCTAGAGGCCCTTCTATCTCTACCACCAGGACCTGACCCAAGTGCTCATCTTGGCTCTACTGCTCCAGTTAGATCACCCACCAAACTCACCATTGGTGTGAGAAGATCACTGATGAAATTCTGTAATTGTTCCACTCTTTCTTTTGGAATATTTTAGGCTATTTATAACTTGGACATTAAAAAAACTCACTCCTAAAAAATTGCTCAACAGTTAAATGTAAGTGGATTTTTAAAAAGAATGAGCCTGTCAGATGTTTCAAAAAACGAATTGCCTTAATAAGTGAAAGTTGAAAAGCACCAATCTTATGTTTTAACTAATTTTTTATTTCTTACATTTAAGATTTTTTTCACTGGAATAATAATTATGCATATTGATGGGGGTAAAGTGTGGTCATTTGATATATGTACACATGTGTAATGATCAAATCAGAGTAATTAGCATTTCCATTTCCTTAAACATTTATCATTTCTTTTGTGTTGGGAGCCTCTAAATGCCTTGCTTTTTGTAAAGAACTAATTTTTCTTTCATCTTTAAAAAGCAAAAAAAAAAAAGCAATAAGCTTGAGCCAAGATT